ATGACAGCTATTTAAAAAAACTATTTTAAGACTATAATATATACTGTATTTAAACCCACATCTTATGGCACTTCTAAATCAAAGCATTACTGTTATACCATGGCAAGGTCAACCAAGGACTGCCAAGTCTAATACTGGGATTTAGGATGTTCGGCTAAAGCAAACACACTGACTTTGTTTTAAATATCATTGCAAATCTACCAAATAAGCCCAAATAATAGGTTTTACATTAATAGGTAAACAAAAAAATAAACTAGAAAATGAATATGATAATTAATTAATTAATATATAAAAGATAATTGGATCATTTAAAAACAATTTTCAATTTCTAGACTCATGTATTCATTTCCAAATGTAACAATTTGATATTGGGGGCTTTCAATTCTACATGTTTTTATTTTTATTCATCTATTTTCCTATTTTTAAATTAATAAACGTAATGACACCTCACCGAATGTATAAATATGGAAATAAATATAGTAAAAAAAATAAGGAATATGTAAAAAAAAGAATTGGGCTAATATTTATTTTTCAATTTATGTGCTTATGTATTTGTTTTCAAGTAAATTTTATTTATATTTGTATCTATTCTTTTTTATTATAATGGAACAAATATTATGTTGTTTTTTTGTTTTTTTTGTAGATAATAAATCACCTCTCACTGCGAGTTCCAGGGCCGTCTCCTTCCCGATGCCGGTGTTTGCCCCCGTGATGAGCACCGTCTTCCCCTCCAGAGAGACGGGGGACCGGCACACTCCTCCAGCCGCATACTTCCTGTTGACCAGAGGAGGAAGTATATAAATATATATCCTTTAAATACACCACACTGTGAAAACACTCTGATAAAGTCATGCATTGATAATGGTACCAAAGTAAAAGTATGTGAGTGTAGTCGGGGAAATGCAATTAATGAAAGGAAAAGTACTGAATGCATTAAAGTGACCTTATATTATATCATGGGATTATTACTAACCATGCATTAAAGGAAAGCAGGATTTACTGTTGTTCGAGGTGGAGCTCATTTTAACTTTTTGTGTTTCAGGCTGCAACAATTTCTTATTTTTTTATAATGGATGAATGTGCTGCTCACATTGGGTTGGGTTTATCAAAATTCAGGGAATAGTGAGAAATGCTGTTAAAATTACCCAAAAGTGACATCTTCACAATGCTCGTTTTGTCCAACCAACAGTCCAGACCTCAAAGATTATTAAACAGAAAATTACATAATTAAAAAGGAAAAATCAGCAAATCCTCACATTTAAGAATTCGGAACCATGACATGTTTTTGCAAGAAAAATGACTTAGGTTTGTATGTCTGGAAGAGCCAAATAATAAAATATTCATATCATATTTATTATTTTAAATAGGGATTTGTTGAATTAAGTAAAATGGTATCATAGCAGACTTTAATATCATATAATTTATTATTAGTGCTGGGCGGTATACCGCTTCATACCGAATACTGTGAACTTTAAACCTTACGATATGAATTTGTCATATACCGTTGAAAAAGTGGCAAAGTGTGCTCGAGCGGTGCAACAGTGAAAAGCGTCCCCTGGTGACTCCTTTCACTGCTGCACTGCTGAAATGCATGCAGTTTCAGGGAAGGGTGGGATTTGTTTACATTTTCTAACAGTGCTTTTGTTGTTATGTGGTACTCAAACATTACATTTTGCAGATGATCAGGTGTTTTTTGTGGGGCCAAAATGTATAAAATGTAAATACATTTCGGATCATTGAAAAGTAAATAAATACCGTGATATCGTTTTATGACATACCGCCCAGCCCTATTTATTATCATACAAAATAGTGGCCAATTGTTTGACTGTTAGTCGATTAATCAATACCTTAACTGTGCTTTTTTGGGACCTTTTGTGTGCAAAAGTGTACATTTGGAAAGCTGAATTTAGCATATAAAAATCAAGCACATTAGGGTCATAATTCAATAGTGATTATCCCTTTCATGGAAACGTATAATGATCGTAATCAGAGGTGGTAGAGGTACTTTGATGTTATACTTGAGTAAAAGTAGAAGTACTCAGATCTTGTACTTAAATAAAAGGACAAGTACCACAGTGTAGGAATACTCTGTTACAAAAAAGTCCTGCATTCAAAATGTTACTCAAGCAAAAGTACAAAAGTATTATCATAAATCAAATATATATATATATAATATACTTAAAGTACCAAAAGTAGAAGTACTCATTCATTATTTAGTTCCACCACTGCTGTTAATACACAGTAACACATGGTGTGGACATATAAGAGAAGTCAGACAGCTCCGACTGACTAGCCTCTTCTGAAGCCAGTGTGAGTTACTGTGTCCTCATTATTATGGGACATATGGACGTCCTTTCTTAATTATTCACAGAGGCCAACTTGGATCCTGAACACACAGTCACACACACACTCGGCGTCAGGTCGTACGACCCACGCCACCGTGAAGCAGAAACCAATGGCTCTGCAGGAGTAAGAGCTCTCCCAGAAAACTCCTCCTACACTCAGCCTGCTGATAGGCCTGACTCTGTGCACAGATAAAAAACTACCATCTTTCTATTTAATTGATTTTCCTCCAAAAATATCAGCCAGCGTCGTGTGAAATGTGAAAAATCCTCAAAAATGGCGAGAGCACAGTGTTTTATGTAATGTCACCTCATCGATATGATTACATCAGTGCAATGCAAAGCCCTGAGTGCATCCGTGCTATGTGTGTTTAAATAAATGGATTTAAATGAGAATGCACGAGTGGTTTAATTGCATTCTTACCTTATGTGTGGAGCAAATAAAATGACCAGTAGCGTCACCACTCCGAGCCCCGCGACTATCACTAAAAGCACCATCATAGCACTGATACCTTTCTGTCTCCTCCGCGGCTCTGTGGGCTGAACAGCTGATGTCAAAGCAGAGAGGGTCAAAGAGCCGCCGCGAACTGCATCATGGGATTGTAGTTTTTATTTTTTATTAGAATATATATAGATTTCAATTTATTATATCATATATAGGATGTATTATAAATAAAGCCATTCAAGAGGGAAAACTATGTTGACTATAAATGAAATACATACGTGGATAATGAAAAAAGTAAAGCAAAGATTATAAATATATATATATATAAATGAAATAGATATTTAAAAAATATATATATATAGGCTACTCGATATGAGATAAGATTTTTTTTTTTGCCCACAAAGGGGAAATTAAAATAAATGTTACCCAAGCAGTCGAAAACAAAACAAATTGATGGAATAGATAAGATTAGATTAAATACATCCTCCTGGGACCCAGCCCATTGATTAACATGCATCTCCTTTTACTCTTTTGAGGTACTCTATCAATCTCTGATGTACTACAGAGGACATCCTGGGCTTTCCAGTGATATGTCATTGGTTAAAATTGCATGCTGGGAAGTTCCTCTTTGTTTTCATCCAAAATGGCTGCATACCAAAAACAACATTTTATAGAAGCATGAGGAGAAGTCAAATATTGTTGAATAATTGTTATTTTTTGTTTATTAACATGTGAGGAACTATATAATTAGTTCTGAAAGCAATTCAATAATTCAAGTTTGGAAATAACAGCTCTTTTATAAATGTCCATTCTAGTGGACGTCAGGACCGTCTTCATGGACTCAATATTGTTGCAGGAGACGGAACCAGATAGTTCAGGGAGATTAAGATGTTGAGTTCTCAGATGATGAGAGAGGTGAGGATTTCACACCTGCAGGGATAGAAGAGGGTCAAGAAGAAGGGGGGGAAAGATGCAGGAGGCTCCATGAGCGCACAGATACAGACAGAGACAGATAGGGACGAGCTGGAAAGAGTAGCACTTATGTCTTATTGTTGTTTTTATTTTAAGTGGAGCCATGAAAAATGAGAATTGCCTCAGGAATGCCAAGTGTGTTTCAATGAGCATGGTCAAATGGAAACCACATCCATAAAACTAGATTACCCTACAGCCCGTGCCGACTGGAGTCAGTGAGTATACTTTCCCACTTTTCAAGGCCCCGACCAGACTTAAATATGGAGTGTGGACTGCTACTAGAGGTCCCAGTTCACCTCCTGCCCTGCCGTGGTGCCCTTGAGCAAGGCACCGGACAAGCCCCCCCCCCCCCCCCACACTCCCATTGCTCCCCGGGCGCTGTACAATAGCTGCCCACTGCTCCTATTAGACTCCTGGTACTATGGGTTAAAAGCAGAGAACAAATGTCACTGTGTGCTCTGCATGTGGGACCATTAAAGAGGGTTTCATCCCTCTGATTCTATCTAATATAATATAACGAAAACAAATTAAAACAGATTTTTCCCAGGAGTTTTTCAATTGAAACCAATGAAAAACTATAAAATACAATACTCAAATTTGACATGTTTATATGAGGACCCCCTTAGTGGTTGTAGAAATATTTTATATCAAATTGTGTTTTCTATTTAACTTATTGTACTAAGATTATTTTTGTAATCATGCATGATATTTTTTAAATTAACCTTTTTATTTATTTTTTAATCTCACGTACCCCCTGCAGTACCCCAATGTACCCCTAGGGGTCCACGTACCCCCATTTGAGAATCACTGCTCTCGGACGCTAATTTAACTTTAGATTATCAAGGAGAAACCAAAACGGAAGCAATTCTACAATAAGCATAAACAAAAATAAACAATGACATTTAAACATGACAATCGTTAAAATAAAGTTAAAATGTTCACATATAAGTAGTAAAACACATATTTGAATACATTACTTTCTAGTAAAATTGTTGTGGAGCGTTCATAATTTAGTTAGAAAACTTCATTTCCCATGATGCACCGTGTAAACTGTCTGCGTAGTGCCTGGATAACGGTTGTTTAAACATGTATTTCATCAACATGTGTTATAATCTGTACGTGTTATTCCTATTTGGTATCTTAAATGTAGTTTATATTCCTATTATATGTTTTAAATAAATAAAAACCGAGTTATTTTTATTTTTAATCCGGAGTTTTTGCCGTTGTATCACGAGGACCTCAAAGCGGAAGCGTCTCGTGCATCTGATTAACGTCAAAAGCAAAACTAACAATTGTGCTTTTAGATTAACCTCTTAGAGCTGTTTTTAAAAACAACACCACACCATTATCTTTAGGATAAAGGCAGTTTAGCTACTCAGAAATGTCGTCGGAGGAATTTGAGAAGCTCCATGAGATCTACAAATCTCTGTTCGAGGAGCTGAAGCTGCTTCCGGAGAAAGCTCTGAGGAGCCAGGGAGGTAGTTGTTGTTGTTGTTTTATAAGCTAATGCTAACGGTAGCTAACAGTGTAATAGGTGTTTTCTGTGCTGTGACACTGGATGTTGTTGTTGTTGTTGTTTACAGAGGAGAGGAAGAGACTGGTGAGGACCTTCGATGAGAGGAAGGGAGAGGCTGAGGAAGTGGTGAGCTGCTCTCTTTATTATCTGTTCAATATCTGTTGTTTTGTATGTGTTATATGTGTATGTATGTATATGTAATAAGAAAGGATGTACCTAAAACATAAAAATACCTCCAAAAGTACAATAAACATTTGATAAATAGCTGTTAAAAAATATGTACACTATGTCTGATATGTACACTATGTCTGATGTATATCTACTGCTTTTTCCACCAAATAAATAAGAGACAACACACACTGCAAAATATGCATTAAATGCAATTAGATTTATATATATTTGTATTGTTTTTCTTAATGCATGTATGTGTTTTTTTTTACAGCTCTTACGTCTTATTCATATTATTCTATTTTACTTGTGTTTTCTTTTTCTTTCTTTTATGGAGCCTCCTTAAAATTACAATATTGTAATACTTTAAAGTGGCAGGGTAAATGCACTTTCCACCACTATTGTTATAACTAGTTAAACACTCTGTCATTTTGCATGTGTTGTGTGTTTAGCAGCACTTCACAGCTTTCTCTTGAATGGCTCTGTCTTTATGTCTGCAGTTACAGGGAATGGATGAAGAGCTGCGTTCTGCTCCGTCTGCCTTCAGAAACATGATGAGCACAAAGCTGCGGATGTACAACCGAGACCTGGGGAAGCTGCAGAGAGACATGAAGACCTCCGATTCTGGGTCCTCTTCTCAGGCGGGGGTGGGGAGTCATCCAGGCATCTACTCATACGAAAACCAGCAGAGTGTGAGTGTGTGTTGGCTGTGATATGTTAGAAATGCTGTTCGAGCACCGTGTCATCTCATCACGAGGGTTATCAACTGTTAGGAAAATCTCACTCGTCAGCGGCTTGAGCTTCAACCTCAGGATCCATGTATTTGTGATCCTCTCCAGAATGGAAGTAGTCATCACATGCAGAGCATCAACTATTTCCTGAACAGTGTCCTTCACATGCTGATATCCAAGAGAGGGAGTTACACAGTCACAAGATGGAGGAATAGAAAGCAGTATTCAATGTTTACTTCAGATTAGCTCCACGTCAGAAATGAGCATGCTTGATGTCTCTCTCCATAGAGGTTGAATCATCATGTTAATCACATAGCTATCATATGCCTCAAACAGTCCTGATGCTCTTCTAGGTAATCACACATCCTGGCATGTTCACAGCTACAGTTGGGATACCTTTGTTATCATGTGGACTCTGATATTGGAAGAGCATATTCAGTATCTTCCCAACATGGGAACAAGGAAGTGTGAAGCAGGAAATGTTTCAGGTGGAAACGAAAGTGGAACAACTTGCTTTCAGATCGAAAGCAAGAAGCTTACTTCTCTTTTCTGCTTTATGTAAAAACTAATTCGAGGTGAATGTAGAAGTTCAAGGAAAAGTTGACACATTTCCTTTTCTACAAACTATCCCCTGCAGACGACAGTACACATTTATAAGGAAAGATTAAGGATGTGATTTTGAACGCTTTGTAATTTTTTTAATCGCCCGTTCCATTCTCGTAAAACAGGATATCACAAGAACGCCTCGAGGGCATTTCTTGATGATGTGTCAATTAGACCCTCCAGAAAAACGCCGGCTAAAATCCTTGATTATGCGATCAAAATCAAACATGCGGTTTATGGGATTTTATGTGGTGAAATTGCAGGAAGTTGCGAAATATGTGTAAGATTTTTTTTTTTTCAATATTGGGCTGTCTTATTTATTCTCTCTCACACACAACCTGCCACTAACGTTAAACCCCTTTACTATTCAATCAAACACATTCAATGTTTATTTATTGTAAAAGCAATAGGGCTATTTTAATCACACTCTCTCTCACTCACACACACACACACACACACACACACACACACACACACACACACTTACTTCTCCGCCTCATTCATTCATTTACTCGTTCGTTATCTGACCAGCTTCAATCTTGTAGGCTTCTCACCTCGTTTCTTGTAGCCCTCGAAAGGGTTTTGGAGGTCGATGCCTCGGTGAACGTGAGTTGTTTGGCTTTCTTGTCCGCAGCAGCAGAAAGCATTTTCGAATGTTTGAATGAATCAAAGTGGGTCGTCACCGTCGATGTTCTCTTATGCTCCAACACAGAATAGTTTCCCCCCACTTTCGTGCAAGACATCGGGGGAATTCTGCTTTGTCCGGTCTTTAGCAGAAATGTTCGTCGGTAAATGAGATGGATTCGATTTTGTCATCTTGGTGTTTTCTCTCTCGTGTGAGCTCCACACGTTCACTCTACGGTGTTGTTTACCTTCTGTGAGGCGCAAACTGATGACGTCGCGTCATCATCATCATCATCATCATCATCATCATCATCACTACTTCACGTAACTTTTTTTCCCCCTCAACTTTGTGTGGAAAAACGCGGGGATTATGCGCCCTTTTGATAAATATGTAGCCTTTTCAAAATCTGCGCCATTTAGCTGATTATGCTGTAAATTCTGCGATCGCAGAATCACGTTTTTCTGGAGGGTCTAGTCAATGTGTCCTTAAACAACGAATGTTTGTCCATAACGCAATAGCTTTTACACGACAGTCCACACAAATGTCTAAAAGGATAATAATGATGTTACTTTTGACGAACATGGATTTTAATTAAACTTCTTCTACAATCTGAACCATCCAGAGCTCTCAGGTGGTCTGCAGGTGGTCTGCTTCAGTGTTATTGAGTAAAGACTATCATAATGTAAAATGACTAACACACAGCTGTCAACAGTGTGTGAGGTGCTCTATGGTCCTGTGAACAGAAACACTGTGGAGAACTCAACGTGGAGAAGCAGCATTCAGATATTATTCTATATTATCTCCCAGAAAACTGCAACTCTCTCTTCTTTTACATCAATTTATGTATTTGTTTATTTGGCAGGGACACTAATGTACGGAGCCCTGGAGGGTTCATAGAGAGAAAAATAAATAAAACGTGACCACGTTTTACTTAATCGTGCGCACGCTTTAGTAACTCGTGCGCACAAGTTACTAAAGCGTGCGCACGAGTTACTAAAGCGTGCGCACGAGTTAATAAAGCGTGCGCACGAGTTAATAAAGCGTGCGCACGAGTTACTAAAGCGTGCGCACGAGTTACTAAAGCGTGCGCACGAGTTACTAAAGCGTGCGCACGAGTTAATAAAGCGTGGCCTCGTTTTATTTAAATTGAGGGATTCCTGTCCGTGACTCACAGTATCTGCTGCCCACAGCTGTTCTATAGAAGGAAAACCTCCTTCACTTTATGAAATCTCTGCGGCACCAGTGGCCTGTACTACGAAGCAGGATTGGCTATTTACACTATTCATTCATGAAGTATGACGCTGCGCTGTCAGCACGCGTCTCCATGTTTGTGATTGGTCAAATGTTGCTAACCCCGTCCCTTTCACGTGAACGCGCTCTCAGCCGGACAGAGAAACCCTGGTTGATTTACTGAGTTGATAACCAGCGTTTGTTAGGGTTAGTTAAGCCGGGTAAATCGAACATGTCCAGGTCCAGGGTCTGTTGAACTGGCTTCGTCGTACAGGGCACTGGAGGCAGTAACATGTAACTAAGCAGAATCTGAGAAGAGCAGCACCAGCTGCAAAGAGCTGTGCCTTTTACTGTTTACTTCACTGCGTTTCCCTTCATTAGAACCGCTGAATAGAGATCGAGGCTGCTACGTTTAACCACACACACCTATACACACATCGAACTACCAGAGTATTCTCCCTCGTTTTATGAAGGAGATGTCCTGTCACCGGGGCGCATGATGTGTGTGTGTGTGCTCAGCTCCGCTCTGTGTGCGTGTTCGTGTGTATCCGACACCACCGGCATTTGTTTTTCAAATTACCACGAACAGTACTTTAAACAAATCTGGTTCCCCATAGTTAAGTGTATTCCCAAGTGAAAGAAATGTGTTTAATCTTAATCTCGATGTGCTATAGTCCTGCCGGAGTGCACCGGAACGAACGATACTATCATAAACAAATGCCCCCCCCACCCCCCCCCCCCCCCACACACACACAAAACGAGGCCATGCTTTATTAACTCGTGCGCACGCTTTAGTAACTCGTGCGCACGCTTTAGTAACTCGTGCGCACGAGAAAGTAACTCGTGCGCACGAGTTACTAAAGCGTGCGCACGAGAAAGTAAAACGTGGCCACGTTTTATTTATTTTTCTCTCTATGAACCCTCCAGGGCTCCGTACTAATGAACACTTAAAACATGAAATATGCCAAGTGTAAATATGCCGGATTTAGCTTTGAGCAGTCGCTCACATAAAACATTAAGAACATGAAAATTACAAACATAGCAGTACAAATACATAAAATGCAAGAGTAAGAATACCCAAGTATTTAGGACATGGTAATACAATATAGCAGCATCGATACATAAAGTGCAAGAGGAGATACCCCTGTGTTAAAGTGGTGATCGTTTGTTTCTCAGCCATTGTTTGAGTTGACCTTTAAAACTATTGAGAGGGACAATCCAAAGCTAATAGCATTTAGTTTCTCCACTCTGTTTTGCTCTTATTCCCCCTGGTTGTAATGTGTTCCTCTCCCTCAGACCCAGGTCCAGTCCCAGAGAGCGTTGCTGCTGCAGGGCACCGACTCTCTGACCAACGCCAGTCAGAGCATCGAGAGAACTCTTCGCATCGCAGCCGAGACGGATCAGGTCGGCACCGACATCATCGAGGAGCTGGGAGGGCAGCGCGAGCAGCTGGACCGCGCCAGGAACAAGGTGAGATGTTGTGTCATTATAACCAGGGGTGCACATAACCTTTTGAGTGAGTTACTCAGATGAGTACCAGGAGACAGCGCTTGGTACTCACCCCACACGAAGCGCGGTCCTCCTCAGTGTCTCCTTCACTGTCCTCTACTTACACTTCTTGCATGCTAGATGATGAAGATGATGAAGACGCACCTCCCTGTCCCTGTTTAAGCCTCCGATTTGCTTTCTTCAAAACTTGTTGCTAAAACTGTGAAGTCCTTGCATTTCCTGAGGCCAAGTTGAAGGATCAAATACTAAGAAATGATCACATGACTTGAAGTCATATCTGATTTCAGATGTGGGAAGTTACGAAGTACACTTCTTCAAGTACTCTACTTAAGTACAATTTTGAGATATTTGTACTTTACTTGACTTTGATCTAACATTTTTAATTAGCTGCACCTTTACCAGCTTTGAGAACACTTTCATGATCAATCATTATAAAACATATCATATATATTATTCTGAGATGGACCAATCTGCACAACGACTACTTTTACTGTCGCTACTTTCACTATATTTTGATGAGAATACTTTTCTACTTTTACTTGAGGAACATTTTGAATGCAGGACTTTTACTGTAACAGAGTATTCCTACACTCTGGTACTTCTACTTTACTCAAGTACAAGATCTGAGTACTTCTACTCTTACTCAAGTACAAGATCTGAGTACTTCTACTCTTACTCAAGTACAAGATCTGAGTACTTCTACTTTTACTCAAGTACAAGATCTGAGTACTTCTACTTTTACTCAAGTACAAGATCTGAGTACTTCTACTTTTACTCAAGTACAAGATCTGAGTACTTCTACTTTTACTCAAGTACAAGATCTGAGTACTTCTACTTTTACTCAAGTACAAGATCTGAGTACTTCTACTTTTACTCAAGTACAAGATCTGAGTACTTCTACTTTTACTCAAGTACAAGATCTGAGTACTTCTACTTTTACTCAAGTACAAGATCTGAGTACTTCTACTTTTACTCAAGTACAAGATCTGAGTACTTCTACTTTTACTCAAGTACAAGATCTGAGTACTTCTACTTTTACTCAAGTACAAGATCTGAGTACTTCTACTTTTACTCAAGTACAAGATCTGAGTACTTCTACTTTTACTCAAGTACAAGATCTGAGTACTTCTACTTTTATTCAAGTACAAGATCTGAGTACTTCTACTTTTACTCAAGTACAAGATCTGAGTACTTCTTCCACCTCTGTCTGATTTCAAACTCTTCCATTAACACCCTGAGTAAGTTTGCAGCTGTGTGTTTTGCTTGTTGTAAATCAAACTGCAGCAGCTTGACCACAGAGCGTGAACGTTGTGATCAGCTGATTTTGCGCAGTTCTCCAGTGTGTGTGCGGGGCACAGTGTGCATGCAGGGGAGTCTCCCACCGCAGCCAGTTGGCGGAGTTTTGGCACAATTATGTTGTTCATACCGACGTTAACCCTGTCTGTGCACACGGCACCAACTCTGTCATCCAGTGCTCTAAGCCTCTGCCTCCTGTAAGCTTCACAGGTCCGTCGGTTATGTCCTGCGCGGCTCGGCCAGCTCCAGTTCAGTCAGTCACAGAAAGTCAGAAGAGTTTTTGCAGGGAGCGAAACGGCAACGTAGCTGCTTAATGTCTTTGTTTTTTTGTACATGTCTCGTAGTTTACTCCATTGACTGTTGACAAGAAACACGTGTAGACGAAATATGTGTTTTTGTTTTGAGGTACGCAAAGGCGCGTAGTGACACAAGTGACGTTACGCAATTCAGATTTTTGCTGCGCATGCGTACCAGTTATGTGCACCCCTGATCATAACCATGTATAGGAAGAGATGTAAGATACTGTATGGTAGATATCTGAGTCCCCTGATTCAGCTTCTTGTGGAATAGATTTTTGAAAGCAGTCCAGCATTTTTACAACATTTGGTGTCAAAAAAAGCGAAAAAGCCCAGGTTTTAGTAAGAACTGTAAGTAAAGAGACTGTGGGGGAAACTTCTGAAGCAATTAGAATCAGGACTCAGAGAGACACGAGGAGAGCTGGAGCTTTGATGGCAAACACAGGTGGTGTGTCACGAGGTGTCACAGCGGTTGCCAAACCAATTCTGAAGAACTCTTTCTGCAGCTCCAGGTTTTAATTAGTTCGGAGTGTAATAATCAACATTCTTCATCAGCGAGACTAAACATTATGGACCCTGAATCTATAGAGCTCTCGTCCATAGAAAAGAACGAGCGCCAGGGAACCTTCGTCCCTGAACAGTAAACTATGGCGGCTTGTGCTCCGTCACAGACTGGCAACAACAATGCGCCCAAGCTGCTCCTCCTTAAGAGAGATAGCAGCGATACCCAAGGCCGTAGACCTATGCCGTGGGAAAGGAAACAGTGAGAGGAGAACATGATGAACTGGGTCGAAGGTTGAATACCTAAGCAAATGATTCCCTAACAGAGGCTATTTGTTGTCAAATTCTGTATCTTGTTTTATTTTAGTTGGTGGATACCGGAGAGAACCTCAGCAAAAGTAGGAAGATTCTTCGTGCGTTATCACGACGGTAAGTGCTTCCCCTGAAAAGATTATACAATTCAGTTATCTTGTTTTTATTTTTTCCCAATAAATTGAATGTTGAGAAATTGTGTTTCCATTATTCTCTGTTTTTGCATGCTTTCATTTTGAGGACTAGAGAAGTCTCTGTAGTTTGTATGACAGTATACTTTCGTTAAAAACCACTCATTAAGTTTATCGCTGTGAATTGTTTAAGCTCATTTTAATTGCATATTTCTCGGGATAATGATGTGAAATGAAGTTGTTTTTGTTCAGGATAATCATGACATTAAATGTTCCTATCCTCCCATGTCTTCAACTAAAAATCCTTCTCCTTCTTTTGGTCCTGTAGGCTGATGACCAACAAGCTGCTGTTAGGCGTCATCATCATAATGGAGTTGGCTATTCTAGCAGCTGCGGTTTATCTGAAGTTCTTCCGATGATGAGCAAACTTACAATCCAGAATCTGACTTCCTGCAGCAAATACTTTTCATCCATTAAGTGAACTTTTACTCAGCGGGGATTCTGTCAGGTGATTCGGGATGAAACGTAAATCTTTGAACTTGTTAAAGGACCGAATCTACAGAAATGTGACCTGGGATTTGCACTTTTTCATCAGACTGTCATTACCCCGGATGCTCTGCAGGGGGCTTTTCTGGATTTGCTGCAACAGACCCCAGAAGATGCTCCGTCGGATGTATTCACCCCTAAGTTCATGTCAAGATCGTCTGGTGGCTGTACTTGAGAAGTGTTACTGATGGTGCAGAAGGTCTGGGAATGGGATTCTTTATTATTCGTCACCCAAACACTTGCATTTTGCTCAGGGCTGTCCTCTAGCAGACATTCTTAGTCAACTAACACTACGATTTTCCTGCAGTGCGTACTCAAAAGTAGAAAGTGTATGCAGTGTGTGTTTTAGAATTGGCCGTCCTGTTCTTGTGAACGTGCCATCTCAATCACCTGGAGGAAATGTCTTTGAATTTGAAACAAACATCCATTTTGGGCCAAGAACGAACTGATTACAATTTGTTGGCAAAAGTCATTGTGACCTTGCCGAAGATGGTTTTGTCCATAACCCAATAATTTGTTTGCTTATTATGACAATTCACCCAAATGTCTAACAGGATAAAATGATGGTGTTTAATATCTGTAAAACTAAGCTCCTCCACAAAGAATCATGCAGATGCCCCACATTTCATCTCTGATTAATAGAGATTTGCTCTGGAATAAGTAATTCTGGGGAAAAAAGCATTTAAAATGAAGAATCAACTCCGATATCGACCATTAAGTGGATTTAGAGGGGGCAGCCCTTATTGTGCCATTATATAATAACAGTATTTGATTAAATGGCACCAGTTTAATCTGTCATCATGCCCAGTTTCCCAATGCTGTAATAAACTTGAGATGTCGATAAAAAATATAGGTGGAAGCTTTTACAACATGCTATGTTCTTAACAGTAAATAATGTCTGTCTAATCACTGTATAATACAGAAATCACTATTTATAAACAAGCTTCAGTATTCCTTTATTTCCCAGCGTCACTGAAGCTAATGGTTAACTTCAGTGTGATGTCGACAGCGGTCAGAAAAACATCCGGCGGATCTGCCTCAGGTTAGTGCTGCGCAAACAGCATCTGTTACTACGCTCCTAATGCTCAAATAATCGCTGATAAGGTTATTTTTAAGTGCTGTGTTTTCAAGTGGCACATCTGCCGTGGTGTTTTTCCTCCGCAGAGATATCACGCCTGGCTGGTGTGATGCCAGGCAAACATGTTGTGAGACTGAGCAGCAGGTGTAGAGAGGAGGAGGAAACTTCTGATGTATTATTGGTGCTGCAATCTGAAATGCTGCCTTCATGCTCCCTTTGAAATACTCAAACAAAACCGGGTTTTAACCTACTTTAAATAATAGTAGTATAGCTAATATATTTGGGCTTGTCACCACCACCGCACCCCCTTTCTGTATGTACAGTTTGGACACCCCTGATTTATGACATCTGTATTTATCTATATATGTCTAAACTCTGCACCATATATTTGTTCTGTAAATGTATTGAAAACTAATGCGATGAATTACTCTTTGCACTTTCTGGTTGGATGCAAACTAGTTCGTTGGGCAATGACAAGAAAGTTGAATCTAATCTAATTTATTTTTGTTAGTAAAATCCTACCAATTGTTCTAACATAGAGAGATCTAAGAATTGTAGACAGAACTCATTATCATAAACCAAAAAAACATTATTATTTAAAAAACGAAATGGTCTGAAATTGAGAGATTTGTTTGAATATTAAATGGAAAAAAGTGACCTATCAAAGGTGGGGTATGTAATTCACTTCAGAAACACGTGTTATATTCCATGGAATGCTCTTAACATCCCGATAGCAATAAATACATTAAATGCTTTGACAATAAATACATACAAACATTTCATCTGTGGAAGCCGTGGCGCTGTAAAAAGCACGACCAATCATCTGAGCCGGCTAAAGTAACTGGATGGCCTACCTGCCTGTCAGCCTTCCATCTCGTGCACACATTTATCTCGTGCCCTCATTGGTCATGTGCGTGTTCGTGTGTGTTGGAGGAGGGGCTCTGTGAGGAAGTCTGAAGGAAGAGGCAGATTTTTTTCAGCTGCGTATTTTCAAATTCTAGCGCACTCGAGCTGGTTTCTCCATTCTTACCTACCCTACCTTTAAGTGCTTTTAAAATGTTTCTAAATGTGGACATTCAAACTGCAAAAGGTTACCTATAAAGTAAAACAAATGTCATGTTCAAAAGGCTGTATCCAAAATAAATCTTTTCAAATGCAAAAAGTGATAGTTTTCATTTTCTATAAGCACTAACATGATGTTCATTTTAGTTTTTAGTGAAATATTTCTACAACTATTGTATGGATTTCCATGACATTTGGTAAAAACATTCATGTTTCTTTCAGGATAAGAATAGTAATATAGTTTATAATAACTGGTGACAATGTGATTTAGCTTTTAGCAAAAACTCTTCAAAGTTTTATTTGTCCAACTTAAATAAATGCACTTCATATACTTGCATGCTAATGACATTCCCATCAGCTTTAGTTAGCTTTGTGTTTAGTAAAATATAACGAGGAAATAAGACACCTGGACACATGCACGAAAAATGTAATAACATTTATGGAAGACCAAAATATAAACTCTTTGTTACAAGGACAAAGTCGAATGGTGGCAACATCAAGTGAAGCTCTGGAGCTCAGTGATGCAAACAGGTGGTGTTGTTCTGCCAGCGTTTGAATCAAAGCTGCATTTTGGACTTTTCAAGCCAATTAATACTCACATAGTCATACAATATCAGTTCCCACTAATAATAGTAAGTGAACTAGTAGGTTCAATGTGAAAATACAAAAGTAAACTCTAAAGAAAATACAGTAACCACAGCTGGTCCAAAAGTGCAAACACATCATTACTAGGTTTTAGTAACTGGCACAAAACAGTTGTGAGAGTCAAACTAAGGGAAACTTGGTTTATCATACCTCTGAGGCAGGTTCATTCTCTTTCAACCAAACACACAATAAATATGAGGAACCTGTGTGCTCTCTTAACTTATTACCCACATAAGTTAGTATTGCTACTTTAAATTAATAGTATTTCCATCAATCAGTGTCTCGAGGGCTTCCGTCTCAATCTGTGAAGCCCTCGGTATTATAGTTTGTCTTCATAACACATAACTAAACATCAGACAGGGAACAACACCTCTACGTTTAGATTCAGTCTTTTTACAGTCTTGTTTTCAGGATTGTGGAATGATCACGGGGTCGGTGTTGATATAAAGTCCAAAGCTTTTTGTTTGCCTCTCTTCTAGAGACGCAGCTGCTCCGTGTCGTCCTTCACAGACGGGATCTCGAGGATGGAGACCGGAGCGCCTTCTCTCGTCTGACCCAGAGACGACGCGATGATGTCCACCGCTAGAGAGGCGGTCGCTTCCACGGCCTCACGAGTCGCCCCGAGCGTCGGGTTCACCTCCACCAGGTCCATGGCTGACAGCAGGCCTGAGGACACGACACAGGAGCAAGTTAGATGTGAGAAGTTAGCAAAAAAAGCTCTTTAAAGACAGAAAAACTGGAAATGAAATCTGCACATTAATTGGCTCCTACACTGCGCCTGTCGTCCCCTCGTATCGTCCTGCACTATTCTGACACAGTGTGCATGAGTTAAAAAGTTATATCAGAGAGTTTTTGGAAAAGAGACGCATTGAGAATCAGTTTTTGTTTCTGTGTCACAAATTTGAGAATGAGTCTAGCAGCAGGTTAGGGAGAAGTAAAAGTGAAGGCGGATTCTTGTGCCCCAAAGTTACCAAAGTAAATATTGGACCAAATGTTCAAAAGCCACATATCTTCCAAATGTTCTGACACAAAAAATCATTGGTCACGTGGATAAATCAGGAGAACTGTATTTTAGACAAATGAGTCTGATTTGCTTTGGCAACACAAGATCTGGCAACACAAAGTGATTAACGTCAAAACTTTAAGCCAACATCAATTACCGTTTGCTAGGCCCAAAGCTAACTAATGTTTTGTAATGCTAAACATGTTACTCTGAATATAAAATATTAGCAAATTAAAATGTATATGCATTAGACTGCGCCCATTTCTTTGGGACAGGAAGTGTTTACGCCGATAGTAACAAGCTATATTTATTTTATAGAACATCTTTGGTTATATCCTGCGTTGTGTGTGGGGTGTTGGAAAAGCACTTCCTGTGTCCACTTTGTCACGTGTGCACCACTCACTAAAACTCATGTAAATCTGATGAGGTTACACAGTACCTGATCTCTCTTGTCAATAGGTGGCGCTGTGACTATGTTCTTTATTGGCCTGTAGATGTCTTCAGGCTAATCCAGAATTTGAAGTTTGGAGCAAGTTTAATTTACAACGACTTCCTGTTTTATGGCTGTATGAGCTGTTATCACATGGTATGTTTCTCCACAATGCCAACGTTGCTGCTTGACACGCCTGAAAGCTTGAAAGCGCCTGAAAGTGCACCAAAATTGCACAGGAAATTCAAAATCCTGTCCTCCCTGCGGGGTTCGGGGTATACCTCCAAGAGGCTTCTTTTTAAGTCTGTCTTACATCTGCCTTTCAAATTTCACATAATGACTTGTAAGTTAAAGATGGAGGCTTCAACTTTCAAAACAGTTTCCACGCCAGAGGCCAAGACCAAAAGGGATGCGTGCACAGGTTTATGAGTTCTCAAGCATCCCAAACATGCCAGAGGTGCACTTAAAGCAACACATAAAACGCCTGGGCTCTAATGAGGGTGCCTGCAGCTGTCTGTGTGTCATTTGTATGAATCTGTACCTGTGTTGTGGATTTCCTCTGTGATGTAGATCCCCTCCCTGTAGGTCAAGCCTCCGTTCACCGGCGTTCCTGTGGCCGGAGCCAGAGACGGGTCGAAGGCGTCGATGTCGAAACTCAAGTGGATCGGTCTCTGTTTTCTGTTGGAGGTGAGAGGATTTAAGATTTTAAAAAAACACACCTGAGCAGACATTTAGCAAATAAACAAAGCAGAAATGGAGTAAACAAAGTCACAATAGCAAGGCTGGGAGAAGTCTTCTAACTATCTGGAGTATCCTGAAACATTTGTGATGTTGGAAGTACACAACGAGATACATAACATAAGTCCAGTGGATTTACACTCCACTGTATACTATGTAATACCAGAGGTGGGAAGTAACTCCGTACATTTACTCAAGAACTGTACTTAAGTACAATTTTGTACTTTACTCTGTAGTTCTACTCCACTACAATTCCGAGGTAAATCGTGTACTTTTACTCCATTACATTTATTTAATAGCTTTACTTACTTTACAGATTTACAGGTGAGAGGATTTAAGATGAAAAAACAGACATTTAGCACATAAACAAAGCAGAAATGAAGTAAACAAAGCCACATGCCTGGACAGCAGGTGGTCCAGAGTGACCTCCATGACTCTCTGGATGCCCAGTCGGTCGATGTCCCTCATGGTGAAGTACTGGATGCCCAGGTTTTTTAGGATGTGGCTGCGATAAACAACATCAGAATAACATTAATATCTATTTCCACATGGAGGATCAGGTTTGTATTGACGACATCTGATAAGCGTTTGTAAGTGATAGTATGTACTCACTACTCTCCTGGGTCAACGTCTCGCAGGCCGATGTACACGAGGTCGCTTGAGGAGAGGAAGGGCTTCGTCCAGGAGAACCCTGGGATATCTGGCATCTGTGGGGAACCGGAAATAAGGTTATATGGAAGAGACAGGGACGAGAACACATCCACCATTGGGTGATATCTGACCATTCATGTAATGGGTATGGTAAGCATTTTAAAAGTAATGTTTTTTTTTTAATGTTTATATCTCTTTCATTCTGGGTGTCTTGGAGACTTTGAATAATAATAATAGGGCCGGGACTCGATTAAAAAAATTAATCTAATTAATTAGAGGCTTTGTAATTAATTAATCGAAATTAATCGCATTTTTAATCGCATATAAATATT